ATTGTTAGATTTTATTAACAAGTCTTATAATTTTGTGTCAAATACATTCGATTGTCACCACTGGTGTTTTGCTCACAACACTACTACTACTACTACTAATGTTAATACCAATACTACTACTAATGACAATAGTGATGTAAAATACTTCAGTATTTTGTATAATGGCAATTTCAAATGAGTTCTTCTCATAGTGAATATTTTAACATAATAAAATCTATCATCATTATCATCTTTAACGAGATATATACATACAAAGCGAGTAAGAAGGTAACAAAACAAATACTGAGTACATCTACTCCCCCCACACACACACACCTGCACACACACACTTTTTTTACATCACTAATTCTAATATAAATATATTGATGATTTTGTGATTTTTCTTTTCTTTCTAGTATTCATTTTCTCATTGAAATTATTATTTGTCTAAAAATGATTTCTTGTTCAAAATTTTCCTGTGAAGGAGTAATAATAAGGTTTTTCTAATAAATAAATAAAAACAACACAACAACAATGTTTTATTCAGTGTGGAATGTTACAAAATTTTTCAAATAATTTTGAGACTAATCAACTCGTTATTGAGTTATTATTATTATTATTACTATTATTATTATTATTACTATGATTATTATCACCATCCTCATCTCTTCCACTGTGTAAAAATACAGACTACACTAGTTAGTATATAAATCAAATTTTATTAATGTATACTTGTGTGTGTGTATATATATGTGTGTGTAATTACGTGTGCACGTATACACATTTAGATTATATCAATATGTGTACGTGTTTGCGTGGTACTATGTTGAGATTAGACTGATGAATTCTGAGAAAAAAACCTAGTTAACAAAAAATAAAAAAGGGGAGGGTGGACTGTTGTTATAATATGATTTAAAAAAACAACAATAACAACAACAAAACAAAACAGAAAAGATTCAAAATGTCAACTGTCATAGTTGATCTTGGAAGAAATTCTTACAATTTTAGAAGATAGTCATAGAGTAGTATTAGTAGTTAGTAGTATATATATATATATTGCCAGTAATAGTTTATTTTACACGATATATATTTATCCAAAATTATGTATGTATCTAACTGTGTTAAATATTTGCATCGATAAATATAATCTATTCAACCATCAAGATTTATTAGTTAAATCTGTCCAAAAAATTGTATCTTAATATTTAAAATTATTTTGATGATTGTTAAATTTCTTTATGAATTCAATAGTTTTCTTTTCTTTTTCTAGATTGTCTATAAATTTATTCTGTACAAATAACTAGTTATCATTTGTATAATAAGTAAAATTGGATAGTGGATAGCATTGGAATTCTGTTTGACGCGCATTTCGTTTTATTTGGGACTTATCAGCTGGATGTACTTGCATCTCGGACTTGTTGATGTTTACTCTGGGACTCGAATCCAGTACCATTCGCTTCAAATGCTATTGCGTTATCCACTTAGCAGTTCAGTCCTGATAGCCACTTGCTTGTACAATGAGGTGAAGTATAAATTCACTTGGTATTGTTTAGTTGAAAATCTCGTCATTACTACCAGAATGCATTCATTATATGATTTGAGATTGGACCTAAGATATTCAAGTTCAACATCAAATGTTTAAACTTTTAACTAAATGTTTGTTCAACTTTAGTCAATCAATGACTATAATCGATTCCCAACAGTAGGTAACTTTCTCACAATTTCTTCAGTGGGTCTTTTGCATCTGAGGAGTCCCTAGTTTTCAGCGATTATCTAACTAACACAGGTTTTCTATTCAAAAGACATAAGAAAAAAAAACAATGAATCAAATAATGTTTGTTTGTTATATCTAGAGTTTAAATTCTTGCTACACTGCGTACTAATTGAGCACTCGAACTCTAGAACCTTCCAACTCACAAGTCAGAAGACAGAAGACGAGTGAGAAGAAATACTATTCCAAACAGTGTCAAATATGGTACCAAACTCTCAGGTATTTATAGATTTTAATGAGAACGAAATTAGTACAGTCATCCAATTCGCATGTAGTGCTTTTTAGCATTTGTTCAAATGGGTAGCTCCACGTCGATATTATGAAATTTTCATCCAAAAAATGATTGCACAGAATGTCTTCGGCTCTTTCTGAGCTTCTTAGAGCTTCCTTAACTTCACCCGGGGATCGTCCTAACACTATCCATCTATGGATGTTTCAATCATGAACTGAACAGTAATTTAAGAACTGGGTACATCATATAACATTCATTTAGCCTGTATGTGTCCATGTGTATATGTGCCTGTATATTACAAAAGTCTAGAAAACAGAAGAACAAGAGAAACAGAGAGAGAGAGAGAGAAAAGAAAAATTAGTACACAGAGATGCGTACACAGTTAAGGATATAATAAGTCGATAAGAATTCACAATCACATCAATATGAAATTAAAACAATCTGACAATTCAAAAGTACAAAATAGTAGAATAGCATTTTTGATGACATTGCCGACCAATTTATATCATGTGAACTCCTGTCAATGTTCTTTTGCGTGTGTGTGTGATGCATGAAAGATAAATCAGTTGTTTTCCCGTCTCTTTATATCATCATCATCATCATCATCTTCATTATATCAGTCTGTTGAATGACACATTTTACGTATAGGAAATTAATTAGTATAACTGAGAAATAATAAACATCTGTAATATCATAATAGTGATAATAATGGCCTAAGGTATCTTTCTGTTTTCTTCTTTTGTTATTCAACGAACAAGATGTGAGAATTCTCATGGACTGGTGTATATATATTTATATATATACGCTGATTTATGTATGTATATGCATGTGTATTTGTATATATTCACATAATCCATTATATTTGCTTGAGTGAATAAATAGTTGAATAAATAAATGAATTAGTTACAGAGTAATTATATATTCACATGAGTTATTCGTAAAGAAAAAAAAATGATAAAACATAATAAACTAATTTCGTGACTTCTTATTTAAGATAAAAACAATTACATAATCGAAATAGGACAAATAGAAAAGAATAATGAGTGACTACCAATATTTATATTCTACACATATAGTTCCCTTTATCAAGCGAAAGAACAAAGATTTTAGCAGAATAATATAAATTCATTTTATCAGTATTGAGGTTATGGAGATTATTAAGTTTTTCATTGAGATCATGAATCGACTGATGTTACACCACCGTTGGAAACCTAGAAGCACTGGAGGGCTGTCCCATACTAGGACGAAACGGCCATCCAGTGCTTCTAGGTTTCCAACGGTGGTGTAACATCAGTCAATTCATGATATCAATAAAAAAAATTCATTTTATTTCAACAGTTGGATTCACGAGTCAATTTAAGCTAGGCTACATTGAAAACCTGTAAACACTGTTTGACGGCCATTTCTTCTTAGTATGGGACTCCTCAACAATACTCATCCATGATCTCGCACCAAAATAACTCGAACCTACGACCTTCGGTCTTGCGCACGAACTCTTAACATCTGAACCACCAAGTTGACATCCAACTATGTTAATGTATAACTTCAATCGACTCATTATTTTGCGCAACTCTCCATCTATTGTTTGAGGTGGATAACTGTCTTCATCCGACATCGATTGGATTTCATTGGTCACGGTTTCTCATTAGAACCCTAGGAAATTTATCTTGAAGCTAGTCACTATTGAGTACATGATTATTATAAGTATGGGGATTTGTGGACATTGTAGTATTTCATTTGGTCTATGTCAGTTGCTTACAACCTGTGATATTTAAAAATTTTGATTAAAAAATCAGCTGAAATTACTTTCATGAAAGAGTTAAGTTAGAAGTTACCTTGAAGACATCAGTATGGTAAAGCAAGGGTGTAAACAAATTTAATATATATACCTCATTATATAAAAGAACATTCTGCAACATTGAATGTAACAAGAGGTCAAATGACTATAAACAAGTGATTATGTAATGAGTAAACTTTAATAATAAGTAAGAATAAAATGAGTAAAGTTAATTAAAATATGATTTCAACCATTAAGATCATGAGTCAGTTGAAGCTAGACCACCATGGAAAACCTGGAAGCACTGGACGGCCGTTTCGTCCTATTGTGGGACTCCTCATCAGTGCGCATCCACGACCTCGCCCCCTGCGAGATTCAAACCCAGGACCTAGCTTCAACTGACTCATGATCTTAATGATTGAAATCACTACAATCTCCACAAAACCCCTTCTGATACTAATCAACATATGCTCACTAGTGACTGACTTCAAGAGGTATATCCTGGAGTTCTAGTGAGAAGTAGTGACCAGTGAAGTTCAACCAGGTCTGTTGTGGGATAGAAACTCACTGAAGACTATGGTGGATGTGTCGCTCAATTTCGTGGATTAGTTGAAGTTAGACATGAACACCGTTGGATGCCGGCTCAGTGGTCTAGTGGTTAAGTGCTCGCGCGCGAAGCCAGTAGGTCCTGGGCTCGAATCTCGCAGGGGGCGAGGTCGTGGATGCGCACTGATGAGGAGTCCCACAATAGGACGAAACGGCCGTCCAGTGCTTCCAGGTTTTCCATGGTGGTCTAGCTTCAACTGAATCATGATCTTAATGATTGAAATCACTACAATCTCCACAAAACCCCTTCTGATAAAATATGATTACTAATCTAGAAGACAGTCAAAATAAAAAGACATTGTAATGTAATTAAATAAAACAGTCGAAAATTATTTTTAAAGATGCAACAAAAGAATATTTATCACCAAATTAAGGAAAGGTTAATTACCATCTCCTTTTCAACGACTTCAGCAAACTTCAAACGACTGGAATTTGACTGTTTATTAATTGCCATGAAAGATTGAAAAGTATTGAACTGATGTTTTGTATTCAAGAGATTTTTGGTGATTGCATCGTTTAAAGTCACTTATTCTCTTGTTCTAAGGCTTTTTGAAACGTTCAAAAAAATCGAAGACATACCAACCTTTCTGTTTGGTCAATTTAGCTGCTTTGGCAGGTACACGTAAATTTCCAAACGCGATTGGAGGTAAGGAGGAAGGTGGTATTTGTCGACATTGGATTAGGTTATTGAACATGTTGTTTTGTACAGAATTAATAGTGTGACTGCTGGGTAAGTTCTAGCTAATGCAGTGTTAAGCAGTCTGCTGACTGTGGTTGTGACGTCATCACCTTTGAAGTTGAGATTCATAGACATTGGTTCTTTATTGACTGTTATCACATTCGTCTTGTTTTCTTTAGATTTTTTTTTTACATTTGTCAATAAATTCCTGTATGTAGCAACGTTCATCAATTCTTCTTCTAGTTTCTCAGTAGTACATATCTTTTCTACCCTATAAAATGATGTTTTGATCAACGCCGTTTTGTAAATGATTAGACAAAAACTATTGAAATTCATGTGAAGACCATTCCAGGTACTTTTTCTATAAACCGAATATTGAATTATCCTATCTTACTTCATTTGTATTCATTTTGATTTATTAGTATAAATTGCTTAAAAGTAGTGGTGGTGTGGTTAGCTATTGTTAAAATCCAGAAAACACATTTCATCCACTATATTCTTAGTGTTAATTTTCAGATTAGGACTTCAACCTAATACCGTTTGCTTAAAACGCTTAATCCGTTATCCAATGACCTAATAAATTCAGTATTTCATTGACGTCTTCATGTTAGTTTTGTGTTGCATAGCAATATTTAAAACCGATTGTACAAGGAATTGAACTAGGGACTTTCAAGTTTAAAGTTAAATACAATAAATTTCGATCAGTATGTAGATAAAACCAGTAGTATACATTTCAAATTCTCGATCAACTATCAACATTGTATTACTATCGGTCACTATTATCAGTATTATAGCCAACGAAGACCAAAGAAGTGGTAGCTGTCGAGATTAATTTATGGGCTATTATTTGTATATATTCTTATTGCATAATTAGATTATATAAATAAATAATCACAACCACCTTTTGACTTATTTTTCATTTTATTGTGTGATGTGGTTGGGTGTGTCTGTATATAAACTACGTATGCTTGAAATAAAATATTCGCTAATTTTTTAAGAAGTTACTTCACTTCTACATTCTATGAATGAGACTGATATATTCAGTGTAGTTAAAAGATTTAAAAATACAGCGGTAAAAACCTATAAAACATTAATATTATTATGGTTTAAATTGCAAATTGATATTAGTTAGACAACCATTGGGAACCTAAAAGCACTATACAGTCATTTCGTTCTAGCATGAGATTCCTCAGTAGTACGCATACATGATCCGGCATCCGGGAATCAAATCCGTGACTTTTGGTTTTGCGTGCTAACTTAACCTCTAGATCATTGACCCGGCATCCAATGCTATACATGTCTGGCTTAAGTAAATTTACGATAATGTAAATATTTTAATGTAAAGTGGTCAAATTAAATATATCGATACATCGGATAATAATAACAGATGCATATCCATTTGTGTGTTTAGCGAGTAAATATTTCAAACTATAGTATGCATGCGAAATAGATCGAAGTGTAATGAACTAGAAATCAGGGGAGGATAACTAACTTATTGTTTAGTGCAAAATTACAGAGTACCTTGTTAACTTATGAAAACCATACATTGAATACTTCATTTAAACATCTTCCATCAGTTATCCTTTACATCTTTCATGATACTTCCAATTCTCAAGTCCTTTGAGTTTCCTTCTCTGTTTTATTCCATTCAATCTTTTCAACCTTCTTTCGACAGTCATTCCACTTCTAATTATTGTTACATACTACTTAAATCTACCGACATAAGTAGTATAAATCACAGAATGAGGATAGTATAGGAATCTAGGATGACAGTTTCACCCGGTTTGGGTTTTTTTAGTTGGATATACATGTCAAATGCCAGAGTTGATGTTCACTTGGGGATTGAAATACACTACTTTTCTCTTTGAACTCATGATTCACTAAGTTAATGAGTTCAGATAGTCCTTCACTTGTTTACCGAGTATAAAATTTATTCTAATTTATAATGATTTAGATTATCCTATTATTGATATTTAAAGCCCGATTTTGATCAATCTTAGTTGGCATATATGATTTCTATGAGGATCATCACAATTAAGTCATTATATCACATTCCTTCTTGTCACTCGACATCGCGGATTCGTTGAAATTAGATATTAACACCGTTGAATGCTAGCTCAGTTGTCTGGAGGTTAAGCATTTGCGCGCTATATCGGAGATCCTGGGTCCGAGTCTAATTTGCAATGTCGTAGTGACGCACTGTTGAGGAGTTCCACACTAGAACGAAGCGGCCATCCAGTGCTTCCAGGTTTCCATTGGTAGTCTAACATTGATCGGTTCATGATTTGAATGATATTCTATTCTATTCTATTAAATCATGGCAATTTGTACAGGATACACAAACACCAACTAAGAATAATGAAAATTCAATCTTGAATATCAACAATGAGATAATTTAAACTATTGCAAATCAAATGATCGTATATAAAACAATCTATCTGGTTTGTGAATCATATTCTGAAATGTGATTTTATCTTATTAATCTAAATAGAATTGTTATTACTGAAATGGAACTGATTAAACTCAACATATTAGAAAAAGTAGAAAAGCAAACAGTAATAACAAATGAAGTTTTTATTTCACTATACAAACATTATATTTAAAAAAATCACATAATACCTGACTATAGTCATTTGTATACAGTTTTATTTTACATTGATTTGTCTAAGCATAACTTAAACAAGTATTGATAAACAGTTGTCTATGCAAAATACTCATTGTCTATTAGCTGTACATCATCAGCAACAATCTACTGTAGAGGAAAACAAACCATCTTCCAATTGAAGAGGAAATTAGAAAAAGATGCAGGTGGTGGATAGGACATACATTATAGAAATCACGAAACTGCATCACGAGGCAAGCCGTAAATTGAAATCCTGAAGGGAAACATAAAAGAGGGAAACTAAAGAGCACAATGCGTCTGGAATTGGAAACAGATATCAAATGGATAAATAACGATTAGAAACCATCGGGGAGAATTGCTCAGAACAGAGTTGGATGAAAAATGCTGGTGGGAAGCTTATGCTCCTCCAAAAGGGGTAACAGGCATAAGTTAGCAAATAAAACAATTATTATATTGTATTAATAACTGAAGTTATATGGAAATAATTAACTGCTATACTGTCCAGATATCATACTTAATTAATCCATATTTGCACATTTATGATTAGTATAATACTGTCAAAAATTTGTTTATTAGAATATCCTCCTTATTACATTTGATTTATTAATTATCTACCTACAAAGTACAAAAGTTGTACTGTTTATCAACCAATGGCAATAAAATTAACAACAATAACGACAATAGATTTTACAATTGCATTTACTCTATATTAAAGATCATATTTTGAAAATAGATGTCGAATGGTACGTATATTGTTCGGGAATCGTAACCGTTAGACAGTGAAAGTTTGAAGTTAAACAAAATATCTCGGATTAATCAAAGTTAGACAACCACAGAAAACCTGGAAACATTTGACCACTGTTCCGTCTTAGTATGGAACTCATCAACAGTGAGCATACTCGAACTCGCAAGCGGGAATTAGAACCCATGACATTTGCAATTGAGTGCAAACGATTAAAGAAGAAAATTTCGAACTTTTAATGAGAAGTTGTTACTAATGAAGCTAATCTTTTCGGGTGTGAAAAAGCTGCCCATCAAATACAATGAAAGATGGATACGCAATATTGTGGATTAATTAAAATTGGAAATGTACACCAATGAGAGCCAGCTCAGTAGTCTAGATGTTAGGCTTTCATGCACGAGGTCGAATTCTGGTTGTAGGGTCGTGAGTGCAAACATCCATATGTATCCAACTGATGCGTTCCATTCAGAACGAAAACCACCTCTTGAATTACATCGCTAACCATTATTGAAAAATACAATTCATAAAATCTGTTAGTTGTTTGTTGAATAAACAAAATGTAAACAACCTACTGAGGTTCTTCATTAGTTCTTTCCAAACCTGTTTTTCAGGGAGAAATTCTATCAGTTTATACAAAAAGAGAATTCCCAAATGATTTACACATCAAAAGTAATCAACTTCTGTGAGCATCATGCTGACTCATCTACTACTACACTCTCCCCCTTTCTCTCCTTCACACACAAACATTCACGTAAACACATTTAAGTCTTCCCCATTTAACCTGAGTTTTCCTACAGTTTATTCGGGATGAAACATAACAGACTATTTGATTATTTGTGGTTTTACGTGTTTCCAAATAATCATAAAAACACCCCATCGAAATGTGTTTTCCTTAATGTAGATAAACAAACTATTTTTGCTATTATTATTACTACTACTACTACTACTCTACATCATATCTTTGTCTAAAACAACCCACTCACAATGACGAGTCAGGAAATACATCAAGATGAATAATTGTCAAGTTGTTACATGAATCAGTTTATCATACTGAGTACAATGCGTTCACTCAAAATGCAAATTGAAAATGACCAGTTTGTTATTTTCTGCTAGGGATGATCTATTGGAAATTGTGAAATTAGGTTTTGTACTGTTGATCGTTCAACTGTAGCCAAGAAAATGATGTTCCTTGTGAGATTCAAAATTCTCTCATATCCTTATCAATTCAACTCGGTTACATCATGAATTTGTTGGTGATTAAACAGACTTGTCATAGTTCATTACTTCTAAATAGTAGAATATCTGTGTATACACATTTGGATTGATTTTGCTGTTATGACGTCATCAATATTGGTTGTTTTCACCAACCACTTCCATAATTATTTCATTGGTACGGATAACATTATTTTCAGTATTCATCTCGATTGAGTACGATCATAATTCATTGAAATGAAGTAGTTAATATAACCACAGTTGGGGTGTGTAACTTGTGAAGATAGTTGAGTTTTTGGGGTATACATCACAGACTGATCTTAGTTAGAGAACTATTGCAAATCAAGAGACAGTGGATTGATGTTTAGTCCGAGGACGTAAGTGGCTGGCTTTACACATTTATGACTGCACTAACAATCGAAACCAGCACCTTGATATCTAGCAGTGAGCACTCAGCTTGAAAACAAATGAGCTGTCATCCAATGCTTCAATCAATCCAATGAGTTCAATCATTTCAATACATGCTATGATCATCTTCGACTCCTTGTGGTAGAGAACTGTTTCACACACAACTTCGTTTAAATGAACTGGTCACTTTTGCATACTAGATCTCTTGTATTCTCTTCTTTTGTTTACCCAGTTATATGTGTAAAAATTGTACTGTGACTAATTAAAGAGAAACGTGATTACTCATACAGTAAGCAGGATCAGTATCCTATTGTTTATCCTACATACATCACTGTCCTACATAAATTCGCCGGTCGAATTCAACTTTCATCTGGAGAATTTTTATCCCTTTTTATCAAAATTTATTCATGATGAACATTGAATATTATTTACGAATGTCAAATCGTTTTGTTCATATGACTGGCTCCATCACAGGTTTAGTTCTCTTTGTATGTTTTTCTATTTTCACTGTCTAGTTTGTTCAAAATAGTCTCTTTTCAATTGATTGATTAACTGATT